TGAGATGACCTCAGCCAGGTGTCTTTCCAGTCTCCTTTTAAATACCTCCAAGGAAGGGGACAGCACCACCACCCTTGGAAGCGTATTGCATATTTTGGCAACCCTCACCGTAAATAATTGTTTCCTGATGTCCAGTCTGAATTTGCTCTCTTTCAGTTTGTGGCCATTTCTAGTTACCCCAGTGGGTGCCCTGGTAAACATTGTATCCCCTATTTCTTGCTGACCCCCCTGATGACTTTGTAGGTGGCCACTAGATCACCTCTCAGCCTCCTCTTCTGGAGGCTGAAGAGGTTCAGGTCTCCCGATTTATCCACATAGGGTTTTTTTCTGTAGGCCTTTAACCAGATGAGTGACCCTCCTATGAACCCTCTCCAGGCCATCCACATCCCTCCTGATGTGTGATGTCCAAAACTGGACACAGTACTTAAGCTGCGGCCTTACCAATGCTGCATAGTGGGGAAGCATCACCTCCCTAGACCTTTGTGATGAACCTGCTTATGCAAGAAAGGGTGTGGTTAGCTTTACTTATTACCTCATCACACTGGTGACTCATGTTCATTTTGGAGTTGACTATGACTCCGAGGTCCCTTTCCACAGTTGTGCTACTTAGAGTGGTACCTCCCAGGCTGTAGGAGTGTTGATGATTATTCCTCCCTAGGTGCAACACATGACACTTATCCTTGTTAAACTGCATCCTATTCTGTTCTTCCCACTTCCCCAGCCTGTCCAAATCACCCTGTATTCACTCCCTACCCTCTAGTTTGTATACTTCTCGCCATAGTTTGCTGTCATCAGCAAACCTGGACAGAGTGCTTTCTACTCCGTCGTCCAAGTCACTAATGAAGATATTGAATAGTACTGGTTCCAGGACAGAGCCTTGGGGGACTCCACTGCCTACATTTCTCCAGGTAGAGACAGACCCATTCACCACCACCCCTGTATTCACTCCCTACCCTCTAGTTTGTATACTTCTCGCCATAGTTTGCTGTCATCAGCAAACCTGGACAGAGTGCTTTCTACTCCGTCGTCCAAGTCACTAATGAAGATATTGAATAGTACTGGTTCCAGGACAGAGCCTTGGGGGACTCCACTGCCTACATTTCTCCAGGTAGAGACAGACCCATTCACCACCACTCTCTGGGTGCATCCCATAAGCCAATTTTCTACCCACCAGACTATGTAATAATCTACATTGCAACTGTTTAGTTTACTTATAAGAATTGGATGTGATGCTGTGTCAAAGGCCTTTTTAAAATCTAAGTAAATAACATCAAACTCTATTCCTTCATTCAAGCATTTTGTGACCCGGTCGTAAAATGAAACGAGGCTAGTCAGGCAGGATCTGCCTGCTATGAACCCATGCTGATTGCCCCTTAACATTATTTTACCAGTTGGCCCCCCACAAATGTGATCCTTATCAATTTTCTCAAAGGTCTTGCCAAGGATGAAGGTGAAGCTAACTGGCTTATAGTTACCCGGTTCTTCCTTCCTCCCCTTCTTGAAAATAGGGATCACATTGGCCCTTTTCCAATCCTCCAGGACCTGTCCTGAGCGCCACGAGTGCTCAAACAGTTGTGCCAGTGGCTCCACTATGACTCCAGCTAATTCCGTAAGTACCCTAGGATGAAGATCATCAGGGCCTGTTGACTTAAATACATTCAACGCCTCCAGGTGCCTCTTTACTAGGTCAGCATGAACAGGTGGTGGGTTGGTATCTATTGGCTTACCTAAAGTCCCAATGGGATGCATATTTCTATTCATGTCCAGGAACATGGATGCAAAGAAAGCATTTAGAAGCTCTGCTTTGGCCATCCTATCTGTTACCAGTTGCCCTAGTTCATCCTGAAGGGGCCCTAAGTTACCCTGCACCTTCTTTTTGCTTCCTATGTACTTAAAGAATTACTTTTTGTTACCCTTAACTTTTGCTGCCAGCCTAAGCTCCATTTCTGCTTTGGCTCTCCTCACTGTTTCCCTGCAAGCTCAAGTCAAGCAGGTATACTCCTCTTTGGTGGCTTCCCATTGCTTCCACAGCCTGTAGGCCTCTTTTTTCCCCCTCCAGGCTCTCCTGGGTTTCCCTGCTCAACCAAGAGGGTTTCTTTGCTTTTTTGCCCCCTTTTATGTATACTGGGATGGTCCTTTTCTGTGACTGCAGGATTAGTCCCTTGAGAAACACCTACCGTTCCTGGACTCCCATCTCTCTGAGGCTTTTACCAGTCAGTCCTTCCCTAACCAATCTCCTGAGTTGGTCAAAGTTTGCCTTCCTGAAGTCTGGCACTTCCGCCCTACTAATTATCTTCCCCACCTTTCTCCAGATAGTGAACCCTATCAAGAGGTGGAGACTATCCCCTAGGTTACCTTGTACCTGCAGATCCCCCACCAAGTCATCCCCTGTGGCCAGTAGCAAGTCTAATAAGACATTTCCCCTAGTCGGAATATATACCTCCTGTGATAGGTGAAGGTCCTGTAAGGAGGTTAGAAACTTTTGTGAACAGGCAGATGTCTGGAAATTTTAAGTCACCCATGACAACCAGGTTCTTTGAGCGCACTGCCTCTGAGAGCTGTCTCGAGAATTCTAGGTCTAACTCATCCCCCTGGTGAGGGAGTCTGTAATAGACCCCCACTACCAAGTTCCTTTCTCCTCAACCCCCCTGTGACCTGACCCATTGTACCTCAATTTGCCCTTCATCTTGGCCCGATTTAACTACAGAAGATGTATATTGCTCCTTAACATAGAGAGCGATGCCCCCCCCCCACTTTTTTCCCCACTCTGTCCTGTCTGTACAGCCTGTACCCTTGATACCCACTGCCCAGTCATGGGTAGGATACCACCAGGTTTCTGTTAGTCCAACCAGGTAGAATTCTTTATTTGCAAGCAGGAGTGCAAGTTCCTTGTGCTTGTTCCCTGTGCTCCTAGCATTAGTATAGAGGCATCTAAGCCCACTGATAGGTGCCCTTACTACTTCCCCATTGTGATGCTTAGCGGGTCCCTTGTTACTTACCTGGACTGTTCCAGCACCTGGCTTGAGATTCATCATCCCTGAACTCTCCCTGTCATCAACATCCCTGTCCCATGACGAACCTAGTTTAAAACCCAGCATATGCGATCAGTCAACCTGTAAGAGAACAGACTCTTACCCTACAGAATTACTCTGTAGTTCCCTACAGGCTATCTTTTTTTCCCAACTTCAGGGAAACATTTACATGGTTTTACTTAATAATTTTAAATAAATTAATCCTAGTTGTATAGTATAATGAGCTGGATTTACAGACCAAGCTAAAATATATTGAAAGATACAGTCAGAAAATAGGAATGAAAGAGAAGAACAAATTAAGAAGAATGCATTCTTGCTTTAAATAAATATTTGCATTTTAGGATGGAATGAAGGAGCTTAACAAATAATAATATTATAGATATGTGTTCAAAGCAAGAAGTTAGGGGAAAATCAGTGTGGGCTGAAACACAATTGTTCCCAATCTTGCAGCAGAATCCACACAAATAGCTGCCTTCAATTTTATAGGTCAACCAGTGTGTACAAGGGGATGTCTGAGAAGATCCAGGTCACTGATCTGGGCTTTTTAAAGCTGTTCCATTCTGAATTGTATTCACATGAAAAAAAAAAAAAAGTTTGCTATTTAAGCTTCCAAGTTAATTTAATTCATCACAAATGTGGCCTGCTAATCTTACAGAAAAAAAGAATGGAGAGATAGCCAATAAATAAATAAATATAGGGGCACTCAAGATTAATTCAGAAAAACAGTGCATTGGTTAATTGCAGACCTATTATACACAAAGCTTCATGCACCTCAGCTTTAAAACCACTTTTGTTCTGGGATAATTCCATTTATCCCAGAGTATGCAGGCCTTATACACTAGCATTTTGGTCTTGATGATAAGCTTTGAGTTGTTCCATGCTCTTTTAGTTAGTCTGCTGAAGGTGGTGGCAGCCTTTCCAATGTGAACATTAAGTTCTTCATCCAGTGAGAGGCTGGTGGTCACTGTGGAGCCTAGGTAGCTGAACTTTTGGTCTACTTCTAGCTGGTTCTCATTCAGAGTGATTAGATCTTGGTGGTAGTACTGCTGTAAAGTTGCAGTAATGATAAAATGAGCCATATTTATTGATACCACCCACTAAAAGAGAAGAGACATGGGCATTGATTCTGCATGGTTAGGAAGTCATCTCCTTATGTATAACCACACTAATTGGAAGATTATTTTGAATCTAGCTTCTTCCACACCCCCTCCCACCCCCAAAACTTGCAATCCCTTCCAATGGTTTTAGAGTACATATTATGGGATTGTGTTTTTTGGAATGGTTGTGTGGGCAATGTCTCCAAAAGCTTTCTTTTTGGATTGCTGACAAGAGGTTGAATATGTGAAAAATCACTGGGCAAGTTGTGACACCTGGTTAGTTGTAGAAAATACTAGAATGAAATGAATTTGCTCTATTTTGTTCAGTTACTTGGAGTGCAAAACTGAATATATGAACTGGCAAAGAGTTGTCTTCATTTTTCTGCTGAATTGTTTTACAGGAAAATCATTGTCCATTGCAGCTCAACACTTATAAAGATGACCTCAGGGTTGATTTCTCTTTCCAGAATCCAAGACAAGTTCCTCATGGATATGTTTGGTCAATCAAACTTGTGTGGGAAAATAGATATTTCCATGATTCTCTACTGTGAGATAGGCAGCTTCCTTGTGAGCCAGGAGGCATTAGCATACCTGGGTCCATCTCCAAGAACTGTACTCCCAGTGGGTCTGCACATAAGCCTTGATGTGAAGAAATTTCCATCAGATGAACTGTCTGTGGTTCAGGTACCCAGATATTCTAAGGTGCACACTTCTTGACCATCATCAGGATGCATCTTGTATGTTGCTTGGTATAAACCCACAATCCTGATAATTGTGAGAGGTCTGGCTCTACATGAAGCTTAGCTTTCTGATCCAAAGCAAAATGTATACAAAGGCTGAGGAACCCTGGCCACAGCTATGTCGCTTAGAGCTTCTAGGTTCCCTGCCACAGAAAAAGAGACTTGATTTCTGGAAAACAAAGGTGAAGCACCATGGTCCTTTAGCATCATGTTGGATGGTAGGAATCATGTTGGTATTGAGAAGTTTAGTGGAAAAATATTATGACTTTCACCAAAACCATGTTTCTAAAATGTGACATTTCCTAGGAACTGGAAACTTGCTTCTTAGTCAGTTTGGTTATTCAAACCCATCACCTGTCTTTGAAAATTTCATGTAGCCAATCTGTCTCTGTCTATACTTTTTTTCTGTCTTTCAGAAATTCCTTTCACTGTGGCTATATTAATTCTGAATGTTTTGCATTTCTTACAGGTCACTACCTAGGAATGACAACCAAACCACTGTGACTGAGTTCATTCTCTTGGGACTTTCCAATGACCCACAATTCCAAATTTTAATGTTTTTTGTGTTTTTGGTGATATACCTCATCACCCTAATGGGGAATGGAGTCATCATGTTGGTGATAAGAGCTGATTCTCACCTTCATACTCCCATGTATTTCTTCTTGTCTCATCTATCTTTTGTTGATATCTGCTATTCTTCAGTCACTGTCCCCCAGATGCTGGTGAATTTATTAGCAAAGCACAACACTATTTCTGTCAGTGCTTGCTTTACCCAGATCTTCTTCTTCCTTCTCTCAGGTACATGTGAATTATTCATTCTCTCAGCAATGGCTTGTGACCGTTATGCTGCCATATGTGCCCCCCTGCATTATGCTGGGGCTATGAACATAAGAGTGTGCAGGATGCTAGTGGGTGTCTCCTGGACAATGAGTGTCATGGATTCACTGGTAAATATGGTTACTTTATTAAAGGTGAAATTCTGTGGGCAAAATGAAATTGGGCATTTTAGCTGTGAGCTTCCCTGACTACTAAAACTGTCCTGCTCTGGGGCATTGATCAACAAAACAGCTCTTTTTTCTTCCCTTGTGGTCATTGCTTTTGGAAATTTCCTCCTTATGTTGGTTTCCTACATCCATATCATCTCTGCCCTCTTGAGGATAAGCTCTTCTGAGGGGAGACATAAAGCCTTCTCCACCTGCAGCTCCCACCTCATTGTGGTGGGTTTATTATATGCAACAGCTGGTTTTCAGTATGTGAAACCAAGTTCCATTTCTTCAGTGATCATAGATCAAGTTTTCTCCATCCAGTACAGCATCTTGACCCCCATGTTAAATCCCATCATCTATAGTCTGAAAAATAAGGATGTGAAAATGGCTGTGGGCAGAATTTAAAAAAAAAAACAAGTTTCCATCTTTTGTAAAACATGCAATTATAAATAGTAATATTCAACATTTTTAATTTCAAATAAATACTTTTGAAAATAAAGAGGTATGGCAAACTGGTAACTGCATGATGATAGAACATAAATGGCAATTCCTTTTTTTTTTTTTTTTGGTAGAAATATCCTTGGTTGTATATCCCACTGAATGCAGAAAGTATCACATGGAGAGAACCTACAGAAGTGTTTTAGCTAGACTTTAAAACTTGTGTAGATCAAGTCAAGGTATCTCTGTTAAGCCTGACTTTATTTTGAATATTAGCCTATTTTGTTAGCAGTCCAAATAATAATTAATTCAATATGTATCACCATATGAAACACCTGTAGTAGTAAAACTGACTGAGTATAGACCCCAAAATATATATATTCAGTTGTTTAGTAATAAGCTGTCCTTCCTAAATGGGACTCAGAAATTTAGGAGATGAAATGCTCTTGACTTAAAATTAATTCTTAGCACCTAATTCCTGAGATCCTTGAGGAACCATATTGTATATCCTATCACGAGAGGTAGCACAGACTAAAGTACGTGGAAGCCATCTGTAGCATAAGGAGGACAAAAGACAGTAGCAGCACCTAGAGCCCATCTACTCCTGCTTGCTTGGTCCTAGGGTCTTTCTCCTTCTGCTGCCTGCCACACTTTTGATGTTATGTTTGGAGAAATAAATCTTGGGAGGATGATCAGGACCCATAGGTGAACGTCTTGTCTAGTGCCTAGTAGGGCTGTGTGAAACGGCACCATTCTGAGGTTTCAATGAAAGTGTTTTGTTTGAATTTCATTTTGATTTGAAACAGCTGTTCCATTTTTCTTTGTCAAAACAGTGAGGCTATTTTGACATTTCGCTCATTAGTTATAATGGGGAAACTCAAAACAGCCTCTCTCATCTGGCAGGCAGCTTGGGGCTGTGGGTCCCCAATCTGCCTGCAAGATGAGGGAGGGAAGCTGATGCTGCCTGGGACTGAGGAAGGGAACTGAGCCCGATTGCTCAGTTCCCCTCCCCCAGGGCTAGATCTGACTGGGGATGGGAAGTCAGCCCAGCACTTGAAAGAGGCAGCTCCACCTGGGCATCGACACAAACAAAAATAAAAAGAGCCATTGCTTTAACACACACAGAATCCTGCTCACTTGGAGGGAACTAATATCTGTCATGGCACTACCTAACTCACATCTCTCACACTGCTCAAGTGGGTTCTCTCTATTGTCCGTGTCCCCCAGAAGTTACTCCCTCCATGTAATGGGTTGGGCTCCCACTGGAGTTTCCTCCCATCACAGTTCTTTTCACAGCAGTTTCCTTCCTGGCAGCTGACCATACACTTGTGCAAGTCCTTATCCAGGTCCTTTGATTGTTGCCTGTGTCCAGTGACTCAGTTACTTTTTTTTGTTTGAAGCTGATCTGTTGCCCCACCCTACTGAGGCATCTTAATCTTAGGTTTGCAATCCTCATCTCAGTTGCTGCTTTACTCTCACAGCAGTCATTCTGGTGATTCTTCTTCTTGTGCATAACAGAAGTTGCTGTCCCCCTCTTACACTGTCAGATAATTAATGATTCATAGATGCTAGGGTCAATAGGGACCTCACCAGATCACTGAGTCTGAACCCCTGCCTAGACAGGAAAGTGGGGTCAGATGACCCCAGCCAGTTGCCTATCCAGCCTTCTCTTAAAGACCGCCAAGGTAGGGGAGAGCACCACCTTCCTAGGAAGCCCATTCCAAATTTTGGCCACCCTTACTGTGAAGAAGCTTTTCCTGATATCTAGGCTAAATCTGCGCGCTCTCAGTTTCTGACCATTGTTTCTTGTTACCCCAAGAGGCGCCCTGGTGAACAGAGCATCTCCGGTCCCTTGCTGCATCCCCCAAATGAAGTTGTAGGCAGCCACAAGATCACTTCTCGGCCTTCTCTTGCGGAGGCTGAAGAGGTCCAGGTCTCTCCTCATAAGGCTTGGCCTGTATGCCCCTAACCATACGAGTGATCCTCCTCTGGACCCTCTGGAGTCTATCAACATCCTTCTTGAAGTACAGCGCCCAAAACTGGATGCAGTACTCCAGCTGTGTTCTGATCAATGCTGCATAGACAGGAAGTATCGCCTCCTTGGATCTATTTGTCATTCATCTGCTGATGCATGAAAAAGTGCGGTTAGTTTGCTGATGATTTCGTTACACTGATGACTCATGTTCATCTTGGAGTCCACTATGACTCCGAAATCCCTTTCCACTTCTGTGCTGCTGAGAGGGTCATTTCCCAACCAGTAGATGTGTTGGACATTTTTGCTCCCTACGTGCAGCACTCTGCACTTGTCCTTGTTGTAGTGCATCCTATTGTGTACTGCCCACTTTTCTAACCTGTCCAGGTCTGCCTGCAATTGTTCCCTACCCTCCAGAGTGTGCACTTCACCTCACAATTTAGTATCATCTGCAAACTTAGACAGAGTATAGTTCACATCCACATCCAAGTCACTGATGAAGATATTGAAGAGTACAGGTCCAAGGAACAAACCCTGTGGGACCCCACTACCCACATCCTTCCATGTTGATACCAATCCATCAACTACCACTCTTTGGGTGTGACCACGAAGCCAATTTGCAACCCACTGGACCATGCAAACATCTGTGTCACAGCCTCTTAATTTATTTATGAAAACAGAATGAGATACCGTATCGAAGGCCTTGCTAAAGTCCAAGAAAATGACATCCACCTCTACTCCTGCATCTAAGCATTTACTGACCCTGTTATAAAATGAAACCAGATTGGTCAGGCATGATCTACCTGCTACAAATGCATGCTGGTTTCCCTGCTGTATTATTTTTCCCATTAGACTCCCACAAATATGATCCTTCATAATCTTTTCAAAGACCTTTCCAAGGATATAAGTGAGACTGACTGGCCTACAATTACTCGGATCCTCCTTCCTCCCCTTCTTGAAAATAGGGACCACACTGCCCCTTTTCAAGTCCTCTGGGACCTGACTCGAGCACCACAACTGATCAAACAGCCATACCTGTGATTTTGCTATGACACTGGCAAATTCCTTCAGTACCCTCAGATGTAGCTCATCTGGCCTGCAGATGTGAACACATCCAGTCCATCCAAATGACTGCACCAAGTCAGCATCAACAGTTGGTAGGCTGGTGCCCATCTAAGAACCCATTAGGAGACTTGTCTTGACCCTTGTTCAAGAACACTGAGGCAAAAAACTCATTGAATAGCTCAGCCTTGTCCCCCCTATCTGTCACTAATTGCTTCTCCTTGTTCAGTAGGGGTCCTATCCTGCCCTGCACCTTCTTTTTACTCCCTACATACCTAAATAAAAAAGACTTCTTGTTGTCTTCAATTTGTGTTGCCAGCCTCAGCTCTGTAGTTGCTTTGGCCTTTCTAACTGCCTCCCGGGAAGTGCAGGCCAAGTAGGTATACTCCTTCTTGGTAGCTTACTCCTGCTTCTACCACCTATATGCCTTCTTTTTTGCCCTTAGGCTCCCCTGGATTTCCCTGTTTAGCCAAGGAAGTTTTTTGGCTACTTTCCCACTTTTCCCTCTGTGCCTGAAGGATCAATTCCTTTAGGAATGACCGCCCTTCCTGGACTTCCATCTCACCAATACTCTTCTCCTGCAGTGCATCATTGACTAGACTCCTAAGGACACTGAAGTCAGCCTTCCTAAAGTCAAGCACTTCCACCCTACTATTTATCTTACCCACCCTACGCCATTTGGTGAATTTGATTGATTGGTGGTCACGAATCTGCAGCTCTCCTACCAGGTCCTCCCCTGTAGCCAACACCAAGTCCAGTAAGGCAATCCCCCTAGTGGGACCATATACCTCCTGCATTGGGTGAAGGTCCTGCATGCAGGTTAAGAACCTATGTGAACAGTTGGATTTGGCTGACTGCTGCTCCCAGCAGATGTCAGGGTAGTTTAGGTCCCCCATGACAACCATGTCCCTAGACTGTACAGCCTCTGAGAGCTGCCTCAAGAGTTCCAAGTCTAGATTTTCTCTTGGTGTGGGGGTCTGTAGCAGACCCCCACCACCAAGACCCTTTCAACCCAATCTCCTTGTATCCTAACCTACAATGCCTCTACTTTCTCCTCCTCTGATCCCATTTTGATTAGGGTAGATGTATAATGCTCCTTTACATAGAAAGCCACCCCATCCCCTTTCCTCCCTACTCTGTCCCTTCTGTACAACCTGTAGCTTTCAATGTATACTGCCCAGTCATGGGTGGAGTCCCACCAGGTTTCCATTAGCCCCACTAAATCAAAGTTATTATCTGCAAGCAGAAGTGTGAGTTCTTACTGCTTGTTTCCCATGTTCCTAGCATTAGTATAGAGGCACTTGAGCCCTCCAAATGGTGCCTTTGATGCCCCCCCCCATTCTGATGCCAGAAGGGCCCCTTGGTACTTACCTGGGGTGTACTGCTATATGTCTCACAGTCTGTAGGTTCTAGCCTCTCTCCATCTCCTCCCTCCCTGTCCCCTGTCATACTTAGTATAAAGCCTGATGTAGGAGGTCAGCCAACCTGTAAGAAAAGAGACTCTTATCTTTTGTGGAGAGATGAAGCCCATTGCATCCCAGGAGGTCCCTTGCATGGAAGTGTGGATCGTGGTCCAGGAAGCAAAAACCCTCATGATGGCACCAACTCCAGAGCCACGGCTTGACTTCCCTGACACAGGTGACGTGATGCCTACTGTGACAGCTGACTGGGAGGATCAATGAGAAGACCACCCATGCCCCTGTCTTCCTAAGCCTGGTCCCCAGAACCCTGTAGTCACTCATGATATGGTCTGGACTATTCCTGGCCACATCATTTGTTTCCACATGGATGAGGACCATGGGATAGTTGTCAGAGGGCTAGATGAGGTCAGGAATTCTTGCCATGATGTCCCTGATCCTGGTTCCGGGCAGCCAGCAGACCTCATGCGCCGTGGAATCTGGATGACGTATGGGTCCCTCTGTTCCTCTCAGCA